GATAGTACTGAACCCTATATGTACTATATATACTATGTTTTTTCCTATATATACATGCCTATGATAAAGTTTAACTTACAAACTAGGCACAGTAAGAGTACAACAATAATAAAATAGAACAATGATAATAATATACTTTAATAAAAGTTACATGAATATAGTCTTTCTCTCTTGAAATATCTTATTGTATTGTACTCACCCTTCTTGTTGTGATGATGTGAGATGATAAAATGCCTACCTAATGAGATGAAATGAGGTGAATGACATAAGCATTGTGACTTAGCGTTAGGATGCTACTGACCTTCTGATGTTACATATGGCTATTAAGTAACTAACAGGCAGTAGCACATACACCATGAATATGCTAGACAAAGGGACAATTCATGACCCTGGCAGGATTGAGCAGAATGACATGAGATTTCATCACACTACTCAGAGTACAATTTAAAACTCACAAATTGCTTGTTTCTGGAATTTTCCATTTAATAATTTTAGACCGCAGTCCACTGCGGGTAACTGAAACCACGGAAAGTGAAATTGTGGATGAGGAGGGACTACTGTATACTAATTTGAGACCTTAACATACCACAACTTGCCATAATATTATTTAACACAATAAAGGCTGTCCAGAAGACCATTCTAAGTGTTTACTGAAATACTAAATACAGTTTTGTCTTTTAGAATTTACAACTGTTAGAGAATGTTGAGATGATCTACAATAGCTTGCTGGATTACACAAAAAAAAGATAAGTTTAAGGGTGATTTCTAACTTGTCAAAGAATACTTAATTACTAAAGGTCAGGCTTGGAACCTAGGTCTTCTGGCTTCTATCTCGGTAATTTTTCCAATGTTTTATGCTGTCCATATTTCTTTTCCCGAGTAGCTAGGATTACAGGCATGAGCCAGTGCACCCAGTTCTGTCCATATTTCTGAACCAAGAGGCATTTCATGTGTGGTACAGACAAAAGATTAGCAAAATGGAAAGGAAACAAGCTTTAGAATCAGACAAATCTGAGTTCAAATTATGACTGGTACTTAAAACCTATGTGATCCTGAGCAAATGCTAAACCTGAGTGAGGAATAAAATGATAGAGGATAAAATAACAATGACTTCACGTGGCTTTTGTGAGGATTATGTGTTAAAATTTCCAGATCCTACCACTTAGTAAGTGCTCAAAAATTTGTATCGGTAACAGTTTCTTTTTAACTTTCATGAACTATTGCCCCAGAACAAACTTTCACACATACCCTAGAGTTTCCCTGAACGAAACAACACTTTACATTCCCATGTGTTTCCAGAGAACAGTTACAAAAAACACTCACCTTCAGAGACACACAGATCCATATGTCACACAAAGACATAGGTCAATACATATGACCTATGTGACACATGGAACTGTGTGCCCACTACAGTATCTGGCATTAAGAGGCACTCAAATATTTGTTGAATGAATGAAAATGAATCACTTTATTTAAATGGGTTTAGAAACTTAATATACTCGTATACTACCCAAAACATCTTAGAATAATCAGTTCTATGAGTTTGCTATCTGCCTATGAAAATGACTTATTTTTTCTTATTATAAAAATAAGTCTCATATTCTTCTAACAGTAATGATAAGAAGTACAGAATTTTAGAGATAAGAAGAGTCCAAGAATTAATTTTCTTAAGCCCCCTACTTTTTACCCATGAGGTAGATCTAATCAGCTGAAGAAACCTACCCAAGGCTAGTCAATTAGTTAGCCACGGAACTGAATTAATATTCAAGACTTAAGATTCTCAATCAGTACCCTATCCCTAGATGCTGATGACATCATTGACATTCACATTTTTCATACTGAAGACAACAGTCCAATCCCTTTAACTTTTTGCTTCCCTTGCCTGAAACTGTTCTAATTCCATTCTTGATTGATAAATTGGGCCAAAACTGATTGTGATTTTTTGGGTACCACAGTTTTATATAAAGATAAAAAAATGTTTTCTATCTCAGTTTCCCAAGGTTTCAAAATACAGCCCTGCTGTGTTAACAATACATTTTCCATAGTTAATAAATGGTCAAATTTTAAAAGATTTCAATGTTAAAAAGGGTT